GCCAAAATTCCTCAAGTTACCTTGGTGGAAAATGAAAGTGCCACAGTCCAATTAATGAGTTCCACTCTCCAAACTGTAATTTCCTTAGACAGTCTATTAAATGAATCTGGAGAACAATCAAATGTATTAAAAAAAAAAAAAGTATTTACTTTCGGTTTAGATTTTCTTTGTTATCCATAAAAACAATCACAGAATGAGGCAATTGATAAACTTGCAGAGGTAGATTTAATATTTGGAAAGTGGGAGCGTGGCTGTTCAGCTGATATAGATTTATACTAGTCATTCGAGGGTGCCATTGATCTTTGTATTTGCTGCTGCTGCCTCACCAGCAGAGTTATGGTAGGGCGTGTACTAGTGACTGGACAGAGACAGTCTCGGGGAGGGGGGGGGGGGGTGAAATTTCCTCGCGCCACTAAAGCAAGCGCAACATGATCTGTGCGCTTGGCTGCAGTTCAGGGATGTGCTTCTCTTGTCATGCATTTGTTTCTCTGTCGCTGGCCGACATGTGAGCTCCTTACGCCATCGCACATGAGCATAAGGCTCACAGCGATATACTGTACCGCTAGACGGAAAAACGCATCACGCAGGGGGGGAGGAAACGCCGCCGTCCCACCCGAGCTCTCCCAGTCATTATCGGCGGTCAAATGCGCCGTCGGCTGGGGAGTTTCTTGTTCCTGTTTTCCGTGACATTGCCTTGACACGGAGGAGCTAAATGTGGCCGTCACAGCGCTTCCTGCCGCCGCTGTCACCCAGAGGAAGAACAGCACCTTTGGATACGTCAGGAGGGATTTCGACATGAAACATAACATCTGCATCGGCCTGCACGGCTCGGCGACAGAGCCCACTTCGTGAACGTCTTACACCGCATAGTGAGCGTGTCGAAAGCTAATTTGGGCCCCCCCCCACTTTGCGTCCTCGGCCCACGGACCCACCTGATACTGATTTGGCGTGTGACACGGCAAAGCGGGCAGTCGCCACAGCGCCAAACGCCGCTCCAACCAAAGGGCTTCACTCTGGCCATTTTTGGGCTGGACTTTTCCACATTAGTTTGGGCCTGGACAATTTTTTATCCAAGTCTTTGGCGTTATCGGTTACTGTCACACGAAAAGGTTTCTGTTGACAGAGTGACTTCATATCTATTTTGTCCTAACTGCTTATCCAGAAGAGCTCAGAGAGAATCTGGAGCCCATTCCAGGAAGCACATGATAAAAGGCAGGGGACACCCTGGGTGCAGAGCCAGCCCATCGCAGTGCAGTACATATGACAATAAACATGGAGGGAGAAGCACCATAGCCTTTCTATCCAGCACAGGGTCTCTCAGGCCAGCCCTCAGGGGCACCCAGTCAGTCCATTTTTGCTGTCTTCTAGCTTCCAGCAAACATGTACCAGATATTTGATGTTCAGAATTGTTTGGTTTGTTCTTGCTTGTTTGGTTCAAGTGTGCTGGGAGCTGGGAGGGATGAAAAATGTGGACTGCGTGTGGGTTCCTGGGGATTTGGCTGAGAAACATCCGTCTAGCATATATTCTTTTTTTTATAACTGTGTGTTAAATACTATATTGTACAAACAGGGATTTCATCATTTCCTGTCCAACAGGGACAATTTTGCCTCTAGCTTCTGACCTTATGCTGTGCCTGCATCTCCTGGAACCCTGAAGTATGCTTCGGACAGCGGGTCTCTCAGCAGCCCCCCCATCCCATAATAGTGTGACTTACCAGAGCGGGTTTCGGCAGCTCCGCCTGATTGGATGAGGCACAGGTTTGTTAGGGGGCAAGTGGCTTGTAACAGCTAATCCCCCCCCCGCCCAGTTTCCGACAAACACCGGTCCGTTTACGATCCTGGCTTCATTTCCTCCGCTTCGTCAGCACACGCCACCCGACCACTGACACGGTGCCATTAGCGTGATTTGTCATGGAAACTGTTGTTTTGGTAAAAGTGCAGGCCATAATAAACAAAGTGGAAAGGCACGGTGGGCCATACTTGCAGATGATCCCCACCCCGGGGCACGGAGCAACATCCCACTAAATCCATCTCCCTAAATCCATCCATCCATCCATCTCCCTAAATCCATTCATAACAAAGAAAGGGGGCTTGCAGGGAAGCTAAACCATCCCAGAGTTCCCTTTTTTCCAAACTCCGTTGTTTGTTTATAAAGCATGGAACCACGAAGGCAGAATTCAGAGGCGAAGTTTGCAGATTCGAGTTGCCCTAAATGAGAGGTTTGTGTGTGTTTGCGATAACAGCAGTTAGGGGAGGGGCATGCTGGTGCTTTGCAAAAACACTGGAAAAATACATGGTAAAACAATTATAATGGCATCCAAATATAACCCCGGAATCCATGCGACACAGCCAATACCAATACAGGGCTGGCACGGGCCCAGCGGCGAGCCGCAGTCGGGTCTAACGGTGTCTGTGCTGAAGGACAGTGCTGAAGGCCCCTTGAGCACCGCTACACCAGCACGCTATCCTGCTCTCACCCCCCCACCGCCCGCCCGTTCCCATTTTTGTGACTATCAGGGATCAAGACTTTTTGCAGATTACACAACAGAATGAAATGTAGTAGCTGCCTCCTTAATGACATAAATAACTAACATGCAGAGAATTTTCATACATACATATTTACATAAATGACAGAATAAAGTACAATAACAGTATAAAGATAATACTTATAAAAACTATGAATATGGCATATACTATATGTGTGTGTATTACATTGAATTGTCAGTAAATAACTAAGCCTGCAACACCTTGCCATATATATGATATATACGCAAGGGTTTGGCACTGTTGGTGTAAAGTGCTGTATTATTAGTGTAAATATGAGTAAGAAGAAGAAAATCTCTAGATAAAAAGAGTGACGGGCAGCGGTAACAGTAAGAGGACGGAGGGCGAATGCTCACTCTATCCTGAC